CTTCGTTTCATTGATGAATGCTCGTCGAATTCGCTGGACTTCTTTGCTGAAGTGTTGATCTTGAGATTATCACAACGGTTTTTTATTGTAGAATCATTCTGGTCGCTTTGAAACTGTTGATTGTCCTGGACAGATAGTGCATTGTTATTTAATCCAGGAGTCGCAATAACTTCATTTCGTGGCTTGATGCTGTTGTTTCTCTCTGTTTTTCTTCCAGGCTTCGCTGTCTTCGCTTGTTTGTGGTTTCGATCGCTGATACGTGGCTTTTTCGTTGGAGACAGAGAAGTGGATAAAGGTGCAGATACTTTTCCACGAATCTCGGTTCGAGTTGGACTTCGAGACTGTCGAATGGATGCGTTTGGTTTCTTCTTTCCTTTAAGTGTTGCATTAGAACTGGGAGGCAAAGAGACAGGCTTTGGTGGTGGATGCAGCTTCGCCCAGTAACGTCTCCAACATCGCGCTATTCGACCAGCAGGACCATCTAACCAAACGAATACTGCTCGGTACACAGCTGGAAACGAAGTAAAATACACACCGAGCATACGATAAAAGTGAGGATCTCCAAAGCAAGTGCGAACGTGAATAGCATTTCTGTTCCGGCGCCGAAACCATTGAACCAGTGACCATGCAACAGATTTACACAAATCCATGTGTACCGTAGGCCCTTGAGGCTCAACGAACGCTAACAACGCAAAAAGGTAGCGATACCGAAAACGGTTGGACGGTACGAATTGTTGTTCCACGTCGGCGGCCATTGCTTGGGCGTAAAAGTCGGCCGCAAACACATAGAGCTCTGCGTCGAACAAGCGATCAGCCATAGCTTCCCAAAGACAAATATCAGGTCTAATAGGGACACCCAGGGCCGGATTCAACTTCTTCCACCAGAATCGAGCCATGCTGTTCGATTGAAGCTGTTCATACGACCGAGCCTGATGTACAGAACGAGAAGAAACAAGTGGTGGTTAAATGTGATGAACAAGACACAACAACTCGTGCAACTTACGATGACACAGATTCCATCTATTGTCGATAGTGGCGGAGGCATTACACGGTAAACGCCCTACTGATCATTAGTTTCTTTTTTTTCTAGACGAGTGCAATTCATCAGGATAATCAGCAACTTACCAACATGCAATCAGTACTTGCTTTTAGTTCTTGAGTAACATATAGAACCTGCGCAATCTGGAGCACCACCATCTTGTACGGTGTCGTAGTTGGCTTCGATATTTCTAAGACACTTCGCAACGCTAGTGTTGCCTGTATATAATTTTCGCTTCGCAAGCACTCCCTACGCAAATAAACAAAAAGGTCGAGTATTATAAGTTTTTTCAAGGGCGGGATGATAGTGCTCAAAGCCACATTAAACCTTGCATAGGTTATCGCAGTATCGACGACTCTCGAAGTATCACTGCTATCGTTGTCCTCAGTATCGTCATTGTGTTCTGGCCCCAACTCGTTGCCGTCTTGACCTGGCCAGTCTTTGAGACTCTCGACATCGATATTGCTAGCGCAGTTGATCGGGCTAGCGACGGCGTTGGTGAAGCTCATGTGCTTAGTGCTCCAAGTTAGGTAATTCATGACGTAAATAACCTTTCAATGGCCACCCTTGAGCTTCGTTAAATTCCTATTTCAACCAAAATTCACGACAAGCACCTCCGTAATTTGCTAGAACGGCAGAATAAATACCAGAACATAACCAGCGCCGAAAAATCAAAGTTTACAAATTGCCCCTGGTGGATTCTAAATGGTCTACATTGCAAGTCGCTTCAGTCGCAGACACCAGTTGGACCGACTGTACTCGACAGAGATCACCTCCAGACCAGGCACCTGCGCCGCTAGCGCTTCAAGCTCACCACTGCGATACACATGGCAATATCGTTCATATACCACCCACCGCTTTTCGTGGTCTACCTTTCCATGTGATCCAGTCGCGTTGTGTTCTTTTTCCTCCTCCTTCGCATACTTCTGCTGAAGTTTCCACTCCACCATGACGTCCTGCGTTTCAAACCGACGTTTCGACCGCTCGTCTTGCTCAAAGGCCCACGCCACAATCAGCACCTCACCACCAACTCGCACCAGCCGTGCCAGTTCACTAGAAGCAGCATTGACCACAGTCAGTACCCTGTTACCTCAACATTCTAATATCCCCCTTTCAATACCCACCTAATGAGTGCCACCCGACGTTCCTCTGTCGAAATATGATGCAGCACAGCAATTGACAGTGCTGCATCGAATGCTCCGGTCCGTAATGGAACCTTCAATGCATCGCACCCCAATAGGTTGCTGAAAAAATGACGAGTCCTCAGTTAGTGCATTTTTTACCAATTGCACTGAAATGGTGCGTACCTGCCACTCGGAGCTCCCGCATGCATCAATGGGATGCTGCGATCAGCTCCAATCATGCATAGCGAGGGGTTGACGCGCAGGTATTTGCCATTGCCACATCCGACGTCAGCCACGAGTGCACCCGATTCCAACTTGTCCAAAAACTCTGTCACTTGTGGCCATGGATGGTGTCGAGTGTGGCTGAAATGAGGGGCGATGAGGTCGTAAACCTTGTGCACGTGCTCGCGCTCGAGCTCCGTCGGAGCCAACGGGCTGCAGGACGAAGCAGCAGCAGTTACGCTGACCATCGAATTAGAAATGGCTACGTTTCAAATGTTATTATCCCTCGTTACAGTGACGTACATGGCTACATCGTCTTCAAGTTGCCTTTTTCACTCTTTGCGTAGATCTGAGGCGTGCAAGGGTGGAGCTGGTGGGGCTGGAAGCTCTCGAAGCTCACTTCTGGAGATCCGAACTACTTTCGCTCCATTTCGCTCTCCACTGGTTCTGACGACGCTGCCTCGACTCTGAGAAGCTCGAAGATAGACTTTGGCAGTGGCCAGATCCTTCATTAAACTGTCATTGGCGTCCTCCAGTTGCTGAATCCGACGCTCCAGTTGTCGCTCTCGTTCAACGTCGGAAGATCCGTCATCAGTCCGCCGTTGCTGTTCACTTGAGGACCGGATAAGCTGCTGTAGTTGGGCCTGCATCTGCTTGGCCTTGGACTTGTAAAACACCAGATGCTTCTCCAAATCGGCGATGTACTCGTCCTTCTTCTGACAGCGAACAATCAGCTTCTGCCACTCCTCGTCCTTGTGTGCGTCGCTAGTTTCACCATCTTCGTTGTTATTAGAAGGCACTAGAACCTTGGGCTGCATCTTCTTAAGCTGCTCCA